TCCCAACTTCACTACTTCATGGTAAAGCTCCTGAGAAAGGGCTATTAAACATGGTCATGGCAATTGTCTTGGCATCTATCTATCAAAACACAGGAAATTAAGACTAACTTTATTACCCTTCTTTTCCTGATTATGATTTAACATCTCTGTTACCTTAAAGCCCATCACCTCTCCATTTTCTTCCAATCAACACAACTGTAAAAGACTTTCTGTAGAGAAAAGGCCACAAATTTTGCAGGGACCCATTCGTGACTAATTATCACTACCACAGGAAAAGCATATTAACATTGCAATTGGTTCTAGAAGGCTCAGCAGCTGGCCCCACTGGTTGTACAGCATTTTCAAGGCTAAATTTCCAAAGAGCCCCTCCCTTATTGTTGCCTACCGAATGGAGGCACTCCCTGGAGACCTTAGAGTGTAAACACCACCAGCCACAGGCTCACCCAAGAATTCTCTTTCTTAATTTCCCTAAATTTGCTCCTCTTTGAAACTCATTTCAATTCAAGCCATGTTAAGCATGTTCTGGGCACTCTTGACAGTTTTCTTACTTAATTCCCATAGCAGTCATATGAGACAGGTATTACTATCCTCTGTTGCATATATGAGGAAATTGAGGTTCATAGAGGTCAAGTGACTTGGCCAAGTGACAGAGTCAAGCTGATGAGGTTCTTTCCCCAACACCAGGAAGCCTGTAGCAAAGCCATATATGTAGCCAAGTTTTTATGAGCCATCTGGGCAGGAGGGGACGAGTCCTTGCCATACAGACCAAGGGATCCATCCAGAGGCAACAGAAGCAGCAGCAGTTTTTTTTTTTTTTTTTTTTTTTTTTTAATGGTTTAAAAATCCTACAGGAATTCTGATTGGTCCCACTAACAATCCATGGAGGCTCACCAGCCGGTTGACTCCTGACCTTCCATGCTTCTCATCCTAATTAATGCAAGGTCCTTGGATCACAGTGTGAGCATCAAGACCCGGTTAGAGTTAGCAATGACCTTTACATCTATCAGGCTTTTCAAAATATGTAAAACAGCTGTGCAGTGGGAACACCCCCCGCCACCCCTCGCCCCACTCTTAACCTTGAAATATGGGTAGATGCATTTTTCCTAATTATAGTGTTTTCCCCAAGTTTTTAGGAAACGACTTTTCACATGGCTAAAAACCATTTGAAATGTAGCTTTTCAACTGCCCAAGCAAACTACTGAAGCATGCAAAAAGAAGATTCCTGCAAATAGATTAATTTCCTTGGCTTAAAAAGAAACCCCAGTAGCAGGGGAACAGAAAAAAAAGAATGATGTGAAAAAATTGGTGGCAGCGAGGTAGGAGATTGTTTGGCTTCCATACTTGTGCCTCTGATATCCTTTTGTTCTCCCACCTCATTGTATTAAGGATGCTAAATCAAACATGATTGCAGTGATGTTTGTGTGTGAAAATGACAAAAGCAATGGGCCAAAATCTCAACCTCATCTTGAACCCTGAGGACTTTTATGGCTTTTCCTTCACTAGGCCCTCCCCCTAATACACATTAAAGACCACATTGTTCAAAAGGGTCATGGTAGGTTTCATACCCCATTTTAATACAACGGAAATGGTAACTGAACTTCCAAGTTTTGTTAGTAATATTTGTATGTCCCTGGAAAATGTCCATTAAAACAATCAATTCTTTGGTTTAAATATTAATGGAGAATTACAATGTATCAGAGGTGCAGAATCAATTGTGTCAAGGTGGTACTGTTTGTGGTGATTAAATCAGATTTTCTTCCTGTACATCATTTTCCCCAGCAAAAGGGTACTGATTACAGACAGGTTAAAAACATCCAGACAGTGTAAGGCATCCAGGTATTTTTCCTAGGTCAAAATTGTCCAGAATGTGTCAGTTTTCAACTCAAGAAGCTTAGAATAAACTAAACTTGCTAATTTCAAGTGCAGGTCTCCCCACCTCCCCTTATTCCATTTGTCTGTCTGCAAGCCACATTATGCACCCCCAGTTCATTTATGCATTTACTCCTGGAAGATTTCAAGTTGGGAGACTATTTAAGGCTGTTTAGGATTCCATTTTTCTCAGCTGTTACCAGTCAGTTGTCACCAGTACTTTGGAGGTTTAGTGGAAGAGAGGTGGCAATGACTTCATTACTCTTTCTAACTGCCATAAATAATTTGCATCAAAAAAGTACCTACTGAATTAATGCCTTAGTCTTCTGGAAAAGGATACAGAAAAACAGGAATGTTACAGCATTTGGGAAAGGGGAATCTGAAAAATGAAAATCTGGGCTGGAGTAAAAGAATAACAAACTTGGTAGTGTTTTAAATATCACAATTTCATTGGCGGAATTGCGCACTTTCCCAAGCTCAGGTGTTTTTACTTAACACCCATATACTATGCATTAAGATGTAGTATGATATCACAACTTCAGTGCATTTAAAAATCAAATCTACGATTTTTGTAGAGTCCTTGACTATAAGTCTGGTTTAAATTATCTCAAAACAACACACTAGGAACATCTGTTTAGCTCAGTTGAAGTTTCGAGAGCCAATACCAGCTGTTGGGGGAGGGATTTCACACATGTGTTACTCAAATCCTAACCAAATCTTATTTTTTTCATTCCCTTAATGATGCCTCCAAAACCAATAGGGTAAAGCAAACATTAGAATAAAAAAGAAGAGAAAAAGGGAGGGAGGAAGAGAGGAGAGAGGGGGAGAGAGAGAAGAAAAAAAGATTACTTACTCAATGCTTTGATGCATGTGACCAAGACCAAAATGATCACCCTCTCCAATTCAATACAGTATTAGCATGAGGACAAAAGGCATTTAAAAATCAATTTGGAGTTATTTCTAGTGGGGGTTGCCTAATCTTTGCAAGTTGAGGAATGAGAATATTCCCCAACGTTGAAAGGGCCCTCAAGTATTTTTCTCCTTTAAGCGGCAATCTAATTTTCACAGAGAATTCATTCGGTGTCATTGTTTTGGTTTTAGGTGTCTGTCCTGCCAGGCAGGGGCCATGCACAAGGGCTGCATCTATCTTGAAGTGTGCACAATGGCCTCTCTTGCGGCTCTCTCTCTCTGTTATTGATCCTTACAGATGCTCCAAAGCCCTTCCCCCACCTTTCTCCAAATCCCAACCCCCATTCTGAAAGATAGCTTAAGAAATAAGACTTCCTGCCTAGCGACTGGCAGGGCTGAAAGACCAGATTGTATGACTCCACAGATCAGGCCTGCCACAGTGAAAGCTTGAATAGAGTTAACCCTCTGTGAACTAAAACAAAACATTTGTATGCCCAGCTGTGACAAAGGTTAATTTAAATGGACAAGGGCCCAATATCTAAAACCAGGCAATGCTTTTTTTACAGTAGCATTTTCACTGGCCTCTTTTGTAAGCAGTTGATTTTGCCTCTTAAGCTTCCAAAACCTCCTTCAACTGGGATAATTCATTTTGCTTTACTAGAATTTTCAGTGAAAGATTCAGGTGAACAGTTTTAAATTCATTTCCTTATTTTATGAAAGTTCTTGTTTTGGTACTGTAAGTTATTTTCTGCAGTTGAATGGCTAAGAAAAACTGAAGTTTCAAAACTTAAATATGAATCAGGGGAGAACTTCCTGTGCAAAACTTTTTTCTCTTTCAGAGCTAGCGGACTACATATCACTAAGAGACTCAAGCTGGTCAAAAAAAAAATCTAAATACTCCAGAGTCATTCCTTCTAAACTCATGTAATAACTGCTCTGGGACTCTGCCAGCTCCTAAACTCCTGTCCAATAGATCCAAAGCAAATCTTACTTCTTAAACTACTCCCTTTTGGAAAAGCTAGTATATCCAGGATAATTTAACAAAGAATTTCTGCGCATATTGGGAGAGGAGGCTGTTCAAGATAAGTAACAGGCCTTACATATAACTGGTATTTTCTACGAACTTTCTTTTGTTTCTGCTAACTTACACTAAAAACCAGTACTTCTGGTATATAAGGTGCTGGGGGACAACATATAAGGGAGGAAAGAAGCCCAAGGTTACTAAAAAGAAGAATGCTATTATCAGAGGGGGTCCCACTTTCCTGGTTTGTGCATCCCCAGAGTGAGAATGAAACTGCAAAGCTGCCTATGGCAGATGTTAGCCATGCTGCAACGGGCTGGGAAGCTTTCCCAGGACCAGCTATTTCGTAGGGTTAATGCCAGTCCTAGAAATTTATCAACTGCCTCAAAGAGTCGGGAACTCTTCTCAGCAGTGCTTGCCTTTAAGAAAATCAAACTCTTCGCAAACTCTTAGCTTGTACTTTATAAACATGGCAAAACTTTAATACTAAGATTCATCCATTTTATCTGTTCCTTCAGCTCTGTCTTTCCTGGCCTAAATAATAAAGTTATGGAAAAGTGGGGTTTCTCACGTAACTAGGAGACTATCCCAAATAAGTTGTAACACTAGTGACTATTCATTACATACACACACACACGCAGAAAATGTACCCATTTAAAAAGCAACCCACTTAAAAAGAAATTAGCAATGGCTTAGTCTTATATCCCAAACTGTAAAGTATAGAAGTTCCCCCACAGAGGATGAGGTTGCCTTATCAATGGCCTCATGACCCCAATTCTATCTATAATTAATGGTAGTAAATAAGGTTTTGGCAGATAGCGAACTGGATTAAGGAATTGAAAATATAAACAACTTCTGTCAAGAAATACACAGAACAATTTTCAATGTAAATTTTATCTACGTACTGAAACGTAAATTTAATTTTTTTCAAGTCACTATAAAATTTAAATGAATCCCCCTCCTTCTGCTCTTCATCAACCACAACAATGAATTCACTGCAGTTCTCTCTCTCAATTATTTTCTCCATTCCAAAACATTTACAACCACTTGCTACATACATGAAAACTTTCTAGCTGAATTCTGCAAAGACACAAAAAAACAGTTGTCTGTGGACTGCCTCCCTTCTCCCTCAAGGCTATTTGCTCTAAACCTTCAAAGAAAATTTCTAACCCTTAGATTTGGGCCCCAGACTGTTCCTTACCTTCCCATGTCTCCATTTCATGCTTCTTGTAGTCTGTTGAAAAGTTCTATTGCAGCCATGAAGAAACAGCGATTACAGGACAAGTCCAGCTTGATGACTACCCTTCCGACACTTGGTCAATTTCTCTAAGCCGGGACTACGACAGTCATCCTCACAGGTCAGTTTACAAGCTGGTCATGTGATTACAAAGTTCAGGCTCTAAGGTCACAACGTGTATGGAGTTCGTTTATTACCAAAGGTTATCTAAGTGGAACTGATAGACTTATTTTCTTTAGTTAACAATACTGCTTAGCACGTCTTTCTGAAAACTATTATGGGAACCATTTCATGGGAAATTCTCTTCCAGTCTTCTTTAAGCTAAGATCCTAAAATTAAAAGGCAGCATTTAAAAATAATTTATTTAAAAGGATTCTGGTATATGGGGTTTCTTTTCTTTTTTTTTTTTTCAAGAGTTATTCTATGCTATAGTCTTCCGTACTGGATTAGAAAATTTAAAGCCAAAACCTTTGGCCTAAGGGAAAGACAAAACGGAAACTCAATGTTAGGTATGTAGGGTTTTTCTGGGGGGTATGGGGGACGTGCAGGAGTGGGATTCCCTGTTTTCTGTCATTGTAATAAACAATGACAAGGCAAATTCCTCTAAGAAAATTAATACATGGAGCTAAGAGTTGTTTGCAGGGCTTACTTTAGCCCTTCATTTCCATGCTCTGGTTATCTATACTAGTTTGAAAGAATGCTCTGATTATACACATTAGTTTGGAGAAAGGAAATTCAGTCTGCAAAATCCTTTTACAAAGCAAAAGTTACTAATTTCACCACCCCCCATTCTCACCCTTAGCCAAAAGTTTACACCTTCAAACTAAGCTTCTTGCTTCATTCCCCTAAAACTCGGAAGATCTTAAACAACATCATGCTATAGCTTCCCTGATTCGTGAACCACACCAGCAGCACGCAGCAGAGTGTATAACACCAAGTGTGCACATACACACTCATACCTTACCACAGTACCCCAAAGGCTGGCAAATTGGAGCCACGTGCTAATGGCACATGATGTCAAACATTCAGCTAAACATTCAAGTATCAGGACACAATAAAAGCGCAAGTTCCACTAAGAAGGTGGAATGGCCCCAAGAGAAACTGATTCCTGAGGATAAATGTTTTTTAACTGTGTCAAATGGTTCATTCTATGAAATCTCCCCTCCCAATTTAGCTTTAGGAATAACTTAAACGCTATGCACACTTTACAGCAGTATTCCAGAAAAAGGAGACCCTTCCTGGAGTAGGACTGGAATCTGTCACTTAGCAGCCATATAACTGAATGGCAAATATTGCTACTACCATTACTAGAGGGCTTTTCTAACCAATAGAGAGCATTAGGGTCATCTTACAAAGTATGGCCTAAAGAGAAAGTGATCAATGATTTAGAGGAGGAAAAAGGCTACAATTTGTCTAAAAATAAATATTCTGCCACTGCCATGACACACTTTACTCCATCATAAATATACTGACCAGCTTTCCCACCCCCACCCCAACCCCATAGATTAATATTTTCTTCTCAGTCCCTGTGGATTGAATGTAGTTCTTAAATGATTTTAGTAAAGTGACTACAAATAGAATGAGGGTGGAAAAAATGGAAGGGGAAGGTCCAGAAGCAAAAAGCTACTCAATTGGAAACACTTAAAGGGCAGCTCTCTGTCTCCCTGAAGGATATGGATTTATTAGAAATACCTGTACACAACAGAGGTGTAGTAAGCCTCTGTGCTTTACTGTACCAACTTTTGGAGGACAAGATGAATAAGGAGCTATTAGTCTAATTTCTGCTACCAAGACTGAAGCAGACACCTTGATTTTCAAGATGAATCCAACTAACAATCCTTGATGCACCCATAAGCCTGAGAACAAATCTTTAACATAGCTTAATGAGACAATTAAGTTTTATCTTTGGATATGGAGCCACATTTCTTCAGCACTGTCAGTCCCACAAGTTTTTTGAGAGCACTTTATAGACTCTACTGGGAGGAAGAGGGAAGAGAAGATGAACACACACCACAGTGCCCATGTGAATGCAAAAGATGAACTCTAAATCTTATTTATTTATTTAATTTTTTGAAACAGGACCTCACTCTGTCACACAGGTTGGAGTGCAGTGGCGCAATCGTGGCTCACTGCAGCCTCCACCTGGGCTCAAGCGATCCTCCCGCATAAGCCTCCCACATAGCTGGGACTACAGGGGACTACAAGCACGCACCACCATGCCTGGCTAATTTGTAAAAATGTTTTGTAGAGATTGGAGTCCATGTTGCCCAGGCTGGTCTTGAACTCCCCGGTTCAAGTGATCCACCTGCCTTAACCTCCCAAAGTGCTGGGATTACAGGCATGAGCAACCACACCTGGCCTAAACACTAATTTTTAACTACGGCTCCAAGTAAGATTGTTTAGCTGGGGACGCGTGTGCACATCAGTAGTTCCAGCTGTTCAGGAGGTTGAGGCAGGAGGAAGGCTTGAAGCCAAGGGTTTGAGGCTACAGTGCACTGATTGTGGCGTGTGAATAGTCAACTGCACTCCAGCTTGGGCAACAGAGTGGACTCATCCCTATTTAAAAAAAAAATAAAAAAAAGAGAGAGAGAGAAGAAAAGTCATTTAAGATTAACAGAGGTACTGGAATTTATAAATGGGAAGAAGAGAGAAAACAGGAAATCAACATTTTCTACTTGCTAATACTGGCTTTGAAATGTGGAAAAAAAGTAGATGAACAAAATTATAAATCCAAACATATGTAGCATTTGCATAATGCAAATCTAATGGAGTCCAAGTTATTAGTTTTTAAATTCAGTTCTTTATATAACATCCTTCATAAAAACGAAACCAAATAAAAACAAATCAAAAAGGAGGGGCAGGGTAAAATTAAAAAAAAAAAAGGGAAAGAGAGAAAAAAAATAAAATAATAAGATTTATTGTTTCTCCTCAGCATCCTCCTTGGTCTCCTCCTTCACCGAAAGAGCTTTTAGCTTTTCCGCCACTTTTTCGGCATGATCGTTTTTTGCCCGATCTTTTCTTTTCTCTCTCTCCAATCTCTTTCCTGCATTCTTCAAACTTTGTTTTGAATTTCTGTGCATTCTCAGCATTCAGGAAGCGGATGGCCAGCAGCTCTAGCTTGGGGCACTCGTCATTCCAGACTCAGGCATGGTCATTACCCACGTTGGGTTTCAGCTCCACCATTGGCGTGATGCAGCGGCGGGCACAGATCTTCCGGGTTTTGGCCCTCCTCATGAGGAGGTGGGTGGTTCCTTTCTCCTTGTGCTTCAGGATCTTGACGTCACCAGTGGCTCGCTCCTTCCATCCAGGGAGATCTTTCTCTGAGGCAAATCACAGTTTCGCCCCCATTTTAAAAAGTTCCGCTTCGGCCGCGGGCGATGGCTAACTCCTGTAATCCCAGCACTCTGGCAGGCCGAGGCGGGTAGATCACCAGAGGTCAGGAGTTTGGGACCAACCTCGTCAACATATGGTGAAACCCCGTCTCTACTAAAAATACAAAAATTAGCTGGGTGTGGCGGCGGGCGCCTGAGGCAGGAGCAGAGATGGCGCCATTGCACTCCTGCCTGGGCGACAAAAGCGATACATCGTCTCAAAAAAAAAAAAAGTTCCTCTTCATCTTCCCCCAGCGTTTTAAAATTTCTTGCTCAGGAAGAGAAACTATTGGCTCAAACTGAGGGTCATGGTTGGACTCATCTGCATTCTCAATGGAAGTATCCTGGTCCTCCTCAATGTCCTTGGCAGCCGCCATGAGGGCGCAGCAGCGGCGGCGGCGGCGGCGGCTCGGCTGAGTCGGTCATCGCTGCCTCCGCGGCCTCTCGGCGACTACTCATAGCTCCTTCCCTCTGCGTCTGGCCACGGAGTCCAAATTATGAATGGCAGAACCTTAGTTAACCACCAAGAGGTTGTTTCCACTTTCATTTTAAAGATGGACAAAGCTGAAGCTCAAAGAAAGGAAGAGGCAGGAGTCATCAGACCAATAGAGAAGAAAATCAAATATCCTAGTCCTCTATTCCACTAAACCACGTATCTTGAGGACAGGAAAAGGCAAAGCCTCTTTTGAGATGTTTAACACCATTCCCCATATGTTTATTCAAACAGACGCTCTCAAAGATGACTGCAGATTTTGAGGCTGAAGGGGTAATGTGAATTTAGTCCTTCAGGGTAAAACAAAAGACAGCAAATCTAGTGGCCACATGATCAGTAGAATCATTTCTGCCTTTTTTAAGAACCCTTCAATGAATGTCTGATGCAAAGTGAAAGCCAGGTGACCATTTTCAAGGACAGGGACTTGTATTCATTTTAGAAAATCAGGACCATGCAGCAAATGTTTAAAATTCCTTTTTAAACTTACAGAGGTTAAAACAAAAAACAAGAGCCCAAGATCTCTGGTTCTCATCTGTCAGATCCTTGATACAGACGTTCCCTATGGCAAGGGAAAGAGTAGTTTAATTCACCTAAATAGGAATAATGAAATCACAGTCAAATGAAGTCCATATTATCTGGAACTAAGAAGCAAAGCTCCTGAAAGTGAAAAAAGAATGAGAGCAACAAAGAACATCCTTGGATACAATTTCCAGTTATGCCTTCAACTCCTGGAGGTGGAAACAATTCATAGTTCAGGAAAAAACTCAAGAGTTGGAAGCTAAAATAAAATATTCTAGAAACCAGGTTTTAAAAATCCAGGTCTACAAACACTCATGGAGTGTCTCCTATTAGCTAGGCACTATGCTGGCTATGTTGACATAAAATAATATTATGTGATCCTTGCCCTAGAAACACTCATCATCTGCTGACCTCTCTAACCTTATTTCTCACCACTCCATACTAACTCACGTGGAGTGCACATAGACTAAACAGATAAATGACAGTATGATGTTATGAGTACTGTAACTAAAGTGGGTAAGAAAAGTGTTAAAGAAACAAAGATGAAGAAGCAATTCATTAGAATAGACTGAGGTGCCACAGAGGGCATTACATTTGAGCTGAACCTTGAAGTTCCACAGGCAGATAAGTAGGAAAGGTAT